AGTAAGTTCTTCATAGCACTTCTTGTGGGAGTAGTTTACTAGCCTACTGAGTCCAACAGGATCGATCTCACGAAGAACTAATGGCAGAAAAAATAATAACAAACTCGAGAGACGGCTGAGTGACCGCAGTGCAGAATCGCTGTATAGTTGAAATCTCCTAACAATGTTGTCCATTTTAGACATAGGCTTATTATATTTACAGCACTTAATAACATTCATTTTCTGGGCTCAATATGTGTTTTAGCTGTTTTTGTTGTGAAAACAAGTGGACCGTAGATACAAGGATTGACCGTCCTCATCTGCGCTCTTATTTTGAAAGACAACTTCCGGTAGCAGAATATGAAAAAACGGGGGGTTTTTTTGTTTCTGTTTTCTAGTGATTTTATTTTTTGTTTTGAGAAGTAGAAAATGAAAATCATCCCATTTTTTAAGTTTAGTAAATCCCTTTTTGACCATGATAAAGAAAAACGCCTTGTATTTCAATTTTGGTTTTTCAATTTGAAAACGAAAATCAAATATCCAGTCGTTTTTTGTTTTGGATTTTCCATTTGTGAAAAGAAAATCCAATGACCAAAACATACACTGACCTCTTATGTATGCATTACAGTCAAACAGTGAGAGGGCAGACAAACATTGTGTAACAGGTCTTACTTGCAGACATCTCTGTACGTCTGTATGGCCGTGTCCATGTAGTGTGCTGGATACGGTCTGGGAGCTCCTGCCTGCAGAAAGGCTGACACTGCAGCCATTTCCTACACAAGAGGTACGGAGGAATGAGGATAAACCATGATTACGTTTTTGTAATCAATGCTGGAAACTCATTGTCATTGTGCAGAGAGTTAGACGGGTGAATGTCTTCTAACCAGAGCCCCGGCAGCATACAGCATGGCCTGATCCGACAGGAAGTCTTTTTTGGCAGTGTGGTAACAGCTGTAGGCCAGCTCATAGTGCTGGACCAGGAAACACAAGTCGGCCATCTTCCTGATCTGCAGCTCTGGGGCTTCTGGGGGATATCTGAAAAGTCAAGGCAGCGATGAATACAATGTGACTGAGTAAGGGAGCCTCAAGAGTCAGATGGAGTGTGATGCTTACAGCAGGCCACATGTGCTCTTTGGTTCACTGATGCTCTTCTCTGGAGCTTTCCCTCCTCCAAACCACTTCTTTGTGGCAGTGAACAGAGAGCGGCTCAGACCTTTCCTGGAGACCAGCTGTGGACACAAAGAGGCAGGTGAAAGAGGCACCACAACTAACATATCAACAAAAGAAACTGAAAGATATAAAAAGGCAAAACCAGTTTCAAATGCAATGTGTTTGAATATTTACTTAAACTATTCACACAAATGGGAACATGTAGCTTAAAATGCAGCAAATTCTCCTTCGGTATAGATATTTCGGAGGCTGAAGTCTGTGCTGCTGTTGAGTTTAATTTTTTTTACTGAAACCTGTTGTTTTTTTAGTATTTATAAACCATGGAGTTTCTCTATCTGCATGTCAGAGCAGCGTGTGATTCAGAGTGAACGGTTTAAACATGTGGAGCCTCGGAGTTGTACCTGGTCGTTGAGCTGTCTGATGTTCTTCTCGATGTGAGGCAGCAGGCCCCTGAAGGTAAACTCTTGGATGAACTGTCTGATGTGGCCGTGGTCATTAAGGGTCAGACACGTCCCGTGGCTCCCTGCAGCCCCCCCCTCAGGAGCGGCTTTCTTCAGCTCAGTGTTAGCAGCACTGAGGGGGGGCAGGCTCCCCGGGCTGCTCGCTGTGTCCAGCTGCAGAGGGTGACTCTCCAGGCCGCTGGGTGCTCCGTCTGTATTAAAAGAAGAAGACATAGTTCAATTTGAATACAGTTACAGTTGAAATACACAGATTCACAAACCCATGCATTAATGGGAAGGTATCAGAGCAAAGGTTTGGCATCATGGATCAGTTTTATGGTCTTGCTCAAGGGCACTATGGTAGTGAACTGGCACCTCTATAGTCCACTTACTTATATTTATTATTTATAAATGTTTTGGTCAATGTTGGAAATTGAACATGTGACCATCCGGTTCTCCCAAAGCAAGCCCCTACCGAATGAGCTACTGCTTGCACCAGTGTGGCAAACAGTGTGAAAACCAACCTCATTCATCACATACAAACCGTTGGTGTTCTCACACTTATAGAATAGAATGGGAGGGAAGAAACCCTCTTTAATGGTCACACATGCAGAGCACACAGCACACACAGTGACATTTGGCCTCTGCATTTAACCCATCCTAGAACCAGGGGCCTAGTACTAGGAGCAGTGGGCAGCTATTGTACAGCGCCCGGGGAGCAATGGGAGTGGGGGGGGAAGGGGGGTGTCCGGTGCCTTGCTCAAGGGCACCACGACAAGGCCCAGGAGGTGAACTGGGACCTCTTCAAGTAGCAGTCCACGATCCATATTTAGGTCTGTTCGGGAACTTGACCCGGCGACCCTACGGCTCACAGTCCAAGCCACTACTGACTGAGCCACTGCCGAACATTTAAAGCTTTTAATATTCACAGCAACCAATTTACCAGATGAACTAGAACAGTGGTTCTCAACCTTTTTACACCAAGTACCACCTGAGAAAATAGTTGGCTCTCCAAGTACCACCATATGACCAATGTTAAAATACAGTCCATGCAGGACTCGGAGGCAAATTAATCTCTCTCTCTCTCTCTCTCTCTCTCTCTCTCTCTCTCTCTCTCTCTCTCTCTCTCTCTCTCTCTCTCTCACTCTCTCTCACTCTCTCTCACTCTCTCTCACCACAAGTGAGAATATAAAGAACAAAATAATAACTTATTCTCACACAACAAATGTCAACTGTACACACATGTCATTTCCTGGACCTATACCAAAGTTTGAATGTAGGCCTCCTGCAACAACCTACATCGAAACAGAAAATGTCCTTTTGGGAATTCAGTTCCACAATAATAATGAAAGCCTCCAGGAGCAGATGAGCCTAAGGGCTAATAGCTCATCTTCAGTCTGCTGATGTTTGCTATTGCCATTTCTGTGGTGGCAAAGTAAAAAAGAAAAGAGATAAGAAAGAACAACAATAAGAACGAAGTAGTAGTAGTCGTTTCTCGTAGTCGTTGTACGTCGTCGTACTACGACT